CGTCCGGTCTCAGGCACACTCTTCTGCGCGCCTGGTCTGCCCCGGCTGTGGGTGCTCGCTCCCCCTGTGGTCTCAGACTACTGGTCGGAAGGGCCCGGCGTGGGCTAACTCCCCAGCTGGCCACTGGCTCCTCTAGGCGCCTCTGCTGGCTTCAAGTCGCTAGGTGGCGCCAGAGATCTCTCCTGGAGCCCTTGGGGAGCTGATTTTCCACCCCGTGGGACAGGGAATAGAGCGGGAATGGTAGGGTAAACCTCAACGGCTTTGGGGTGCTGTGTCTGCCTTGTGCCCCACCGTCGTGGGGAACCCACGCCCCTAGTTTCGTGCCCCGGGTGTCAGTTCCAAAGCCCTCCGTTCCAGGACTCAGGCTGTAGCCCAGTTCAGTGGCGCGGGAATGGCGCCTTTTGAATCCCGCTCCCGTGCCTGGGCGCCTGGGCCTGCTCACTCAGTGAGGGCCTCCGCGCGTCTCCCCTCGAGCCTAGGTCGCAGGCGCAGGGACCTGGGCAGTTGTGGTCTGGATCCGCGTTTGCTTTTCAACTGCACTGCTTTTCCGCGCGCGATCCCGATTCCGATCCGCCCTTGGTTTTCCAGCGCGCCGCTGTTCCGCGCAATCCTGACCGCGATCCGCGCCTGTTTTTCCAGCGCGCCGCCTTTCCGCGCAGGCTTACCGGGCAGCCGGGGGCTGTGTGCTGGTGCTGGTCTCCTCCCCGGGGGCGGGGTCTCTCTTCAATGGCGCCGGAGCCGTTCGCTCACCTCCCTGGCGGATCCTGCGGGGTTCTCCACAGCTCCCGTTCACGGGGTGTGGTGGCTGCAATAGTTCCTTTCCACTCACAGTCCCGCTTGCTGTGTCGTTTGTTCTTGTGGGTCGTTTTAGTGTGTTGTTTTCCTCCTCTCTGCCGGTCGGAGAGTGCCGCCTCTGTGGGCGGGGGAGGGGAGCAGGGTTCTGCGCTTCCCTCCCTTCTAGTCCTCTTTTATGGCCACTTTCTTCTTCTTCGGGCAGTTCGCTGGCTTCACCCGTTTATCTTCCGTGTCCCGGTTCTCACTGGAACCTGCCGCTTTTCCTCCCTATTAACTTTTTTTAATGGGAGATCTTACTTGCAGCGTCTCCTCGCCGCCATGTTGCTCCGCCCCCTTAAAAACTTTTTTAATGACTTACAGTCACTTACACATTTGGGAAGAATTTCAGTTGCAGAGACCAAGCCATAACATTAGTTGGGTGCATATGCATTTTAAGGATTACATGTTAATGAGAACAAGTAAAATTTGGTTATTTCAACAACTGACTAGGCATAGGAATGCTGGGACTTCATGTACGAAAAGAAGTTCTTAATTGAATCACTGATTTACATAATTGAAGTGATTCCCTTGGTGCTCTGCTTTACTCTGACTATAAAACTCACTAGAGCATACAGGAGGGTCTGTGTGTCCATCCCAAAGAGGAAACACCTTCTCTTGTCCTCTGCCCCAAGAACTTTTCCGGATTATCTGGCTATCCACTCTGTGGTGGGAAGCGTGGGTCTGGTACACTAGATCATTGAGAATTTTTCTCTTGTGTTCCATTCAGGTAAAGATAGATTCTAACTCATTCCCTTTCAGTCTTGATTTTGTGATTATGCTCAGTTAGCTCAGAAAAAGAGTAAAGTGGGGAAGCCAAAAAGCAGAGGAGATATGAGTTAGAACAGTGCTTTTGTTTTTTTTTTTAACTAACTTTTGGCCTACCTAGTTGTATAATGCTAATCTGTCATGTCCCTTCTCCAGCCTCCAGAAGATGCCAGGTAGAATGGTTGAGGAACCAGGGTGAAGGTCTAGGAAAGAGGTCTGGATCTGATTAGGTAAAACCACTTCATAAGGCTCCCAATTGGTCAAGCTCATCAGAGTAGGTTTGGAGAGCCATGCTCAAGTTGTTCAGATGAATCCCACTTATGTGACCATTTTACTATGATAAAATTAATGGTCATTTCATAGGGTTCAATGTAGGTAACAAGTGTGTTTTGCTGGAGTGTCGCAACTGGGTCCCTTCCTACATAATGGGGTCGGGGTTGGGTGGGTGAGTGGACAGATGTTAGAGATCCTGATACTGAGCCCGGTCAATGCGTTCTATTTCCTCATCAAACACTAATTTCGAATAAAAACTTCACAAGTGAAAACTGGTTTAGTATTTGGTAGTTTATGGACTCCTTTGACACAGTTAATCTGACTGAATCCTCACAGTCCTATGAAAACAGCCCAGTATCTCTCCTTGGGGCCATTCTATTTATTCCCCCATGCTTGTTCCATTCATTTCCTAAGAGGCTTTTTGTGTCCACTGCTTGTTGAAGGACAAGCATTTCTCAAGGTTCAAGCCTCATTCCTCTTCTCTATCACAGAGATATCATCAAATTTTTAATTCACAACCTTCTTATTTTTATCTCCTACATGGACCTTTTTCCTAATCTCCACTTGTGCTACTTAAACTGCCCACCAGACACTTGGTACTTAATTTTCCAGAATCACCTCAAATGCAACAATTTTATAGCCAAAGTCATCATTTATATTCCCTTCTCCCTTTATCCCTAGTGGCTCCTCCTTCTGACTTTTCTACATTAACTAATTGCATCATCATTCTCCCAGTAATTTAGATTCAATAAGATTCCATCATCTTGGACTCCTCTTTCACCATTGTCTTCCATAGTTCATCAGTCATCAAGGTATTTTTGATTATTCCTTCATAATTTTTCTCCACCAATGGTGTCAGAGAATGGAAGTAGTAACTGGATAATTTTTTAAAATTTTATTTTATTTTATATATTTTTACATCATTTTTCATTTGCACAATGTATGTATTTTCATCTCAGTTATATATTAACTGGATAATGTACCCACATTCCCTAAACTTACTATGATCTCATTAGCCCAAGATCACTAGCTCAGATCATTTCCCCATATTTCATGTCATTTGTGCCCTAGACAATCCCTTTTGAGTGGTAAGAATTATTAAATTCAAGAGTGTTAGGTGAAAAAAATAAGCAAATAAAAGCTTCTCTGGGACTGTTTGGTTTGTGGTTGCTGGTTTGGGAAACTGAGGTACAGAAGGGTTTTTGTACAGCTTACTTGGGGGAGCCAGATAAATTGCAACACTAAATAAATGGTGAATCCTAAGGAATTTCAAGGAAGAGAAGAAAACTCTATAGAGGAAGATAGATCAGGTCCTGAGATCCCAATTTGCTGCAAATTCAAACATTATTTTAGCCCTCAGGACAAAGAAAGTAATACATTGCAACTGTCAAAAACTAAAAAAAAACAAACAACAAAAAAACTCTACTTCATTTTCTATTTCTTCCTTCTGAGCAGAGGTAGAAATACAAATTGCTAATTTCAGACTGAAATGGAGAGTAAAATAATGTCAAATTTTAAATAAGTAAACTCAATTAATGAGATGATTGGGACATGGTACAAATGTGACTATGTGTCATGGAGAAAGAGTGGTCGCCATGGAGATACCTAACACCTGTAGGTCTCAGCAGTTTGTTGTAAACTTGTTACAATAATCAAGCACACATCAAGACTATAAAGAAAGATAAATCACTGGACACAGAGCTATCTGCATGTTAGTTCAAGCAATGATGTAAAAGCTATCAAAATCACATATGTGCAAGCATGAAGCAGCCTTCATACCCTGGCAATTAGCCCTAAGGGTATGTCAGAGAATCTGAGAGGGGAAATTCATACCAAACATCCTTGGATTAAAGGAATTTTTTTTCTTCCAATTACCATATTGCTTACTTTTTTAAGCTTCAAGTTCTTCATCTCTATAAAATGGGAATTAATGATCATGTCTACCACATAGGGTATAAGTATTTAATAAAATCACACATGGGAAGCACTTAGCTTTCATAGGAACTCAATTACCTAGAGATTTTCATGGTGTTACCATTCTATGTTCATGTTACTTCGTACCAGGAAATCAAGTCAAGCTGCACAGAAAGCTGTGGGCTTATGTAGTTACTTGTGATTCACAACCTTGGGTCAAGGACACCTAGCTGGAACACAGATAGAGACAGATGAATGTTGCTTTGTACTACATAGTTTTAAAAGATGAGTAGCGCTCTTTTGTGTGTAAGCACAATAATTGAGTGTGTTGAACAACATACAACACTTTTGTGGCAAGTTATCATTCATTTTGGCCTATTAAACTACTAAACATCCTAACGAAAGCATGATGGTTGTCAGTACTAAGCCTTAGGATGAGTTGTATTTGAGACAAAGAGCCATGGTTGGTGTCCCATCAGAAACAGTTCTCCCAATCTTCTGCGTGGATGCCAATGCTTCTCAAAGAAGAGTCTACTTGATTCTTCAACATCGTCTACTTGAACAACACAAAAGTAATTCAAAGGGCATCCCAGGAGATGGGGGAAGCAAATATTGTTTAAAAATGAACAATGATGTAAAAAATTTAAAAAATAATTAAAAAAAAAATGGCATCCCAAGGGGATACATGTAACTCAGGAAATAGGGAGGCAGGGTCTTCTGTGTTTCATTCTAGAGAGGTAGAGGATTTTCTTTTCAGGGATAATGTTATGACACCAAAATACTGATCACCTGATGCTTTGAGCAAAGTGCTGTAGGGAGACCATAAATTCCTTAGCATTTCGCAAAGGGAAGGCTTACAAGTGGTTAAATAACTTTTTGAAAATCATAAATACAGATAGATTATTATTTCAGAGACCAGAATTCGTTAAAGTTAAATGAGCAGTTAATGGGCTACTTTGTGGTTTATCTTTGTATGATCATTAAATTTGAGTGTGGGTACATGCATTCCCTTAAGTATGCTGGAAGGCAAGATGGTTTCAGTTTTGTTGGCATTTGTTGTTATTGTTGTTTCATTAGTAGCCAATGAATTATTCCCAATGAATTATCAAAGGCACTAGTGACATCTGGGTTCATCTTTTCCACTAACTAGCTCAAGTGTAAAATACTTCATGTTTTCTAGAAAACTTTTTTAACCCATTTTCTTCTTCATTCAGTTGACCTCAGATTGGTCCCTCGTATCCTCCAATGAAAGAAAAACAGGGCTGAAGAAGGTCCTGAGGAGAGTGTGGAAAGTGTGGTAGTGGTAATTGTCTTTCCCTGTTCCTACCTAACAGAGGAAGGAGCTCCAGTAAGTAAATCAAAGCAATACCACTACTCCCGTTCCTTTGTCTTTTTATATACAACTTCTTAAATTATCTTTAAGATCCCTGAGGGTAGGAATCAGATCTATTTTCAAACTGTGTTCAGGATCTAGCACCTTGCTTAATCAATGTTAAATAGTAACAGTGCATTTTAATTGGCCTACTTTCAGAGCATCAGATTAAATTATTCTGCTAATTAATTGGTTGATCTCATATTTCACTTATATTGTCAGGTTATTATTTTTCCCTTTAGGGCTCAAGACACCACTGACAGTTCAAATACTTCTTCATTAATTACCATGTCTTACATTCTGCATAATCTTACTATAATTATTTTGAAATCATATTTATTGAAGACCAGTATGTATTAGGAGTGATAAAAACAGAATTAGTTTCAACTCTTCTCGCTAATACACATATAGGGCCATTGCTCAAAATTCCGTGGAAGGGGTATTTGGCTTGGCAGAGGAGAGTCTTCAATTAGGTTTAATTGGTCAGACATTAAACTAGCTTGATGTAAGTGATCGATAAACATAACACCCCTTCTTCAGCTCTTTTTCACCAGCCAAATACTATCTGTGAATTGATTCATTCTGTCTTTTTAGGTAGCTATGATATATAACTACACCAATCATTATACTTCAGAGGAAACTAGACTAACTTACAGTTTTCAATAGGAAAGGAAGCAGGAGAGAGAATGTCTTGGAAGGAACACAGGTCAAATGTTAAAGGAACTGTGAGTGTTGAGCCTGGAAAAAGAGGAGATGTGGTAAGACAAAAGCTACATGTAACACTTAAAGATAAGAAATGAGTTCATTCGATGTAACAGAATAATGTCTAATGGGTGGACGTTACAGGGAAAGAAAATTTTGCACAATGAGAGAATCCTAAATGAAAGTTCAAATAATATTGACTTTGGGGATCCCTATACAGATAATTTGTCAACTCAAAGATGTGTTAAAAAGATTGAATTTTTTAAATCCAACAAATAATTGTGACTGTCTACTAAGTGAAGCACATATGTAGAACTGAGCAAATCAAAGTAGGGCTACCTAGCAACTTAGATTGTGTGTGTTTGTGTGTGTGTGTGTGTGTGTGTGTTTCGGGACAGCAATAGAAAATCAGCAGTCAAACCACTGTGTGGCAGGTGGTGGTGAATGTGCTCAGCTGAGACGGGGTTGAAGTCAGAGAGGTGGTGTGGGCCCAAGCATGTCAGGGATTTATGGGGCAGGGTGGAGAGTTAAGATTTTAATCTAAGCGCAGAGAGAGCCTTTGGAGGGTTTTAAGCAGGGAAGACATCATCTGATTTGCATTTTTGAAAGATCACCCTGTCAGATGTGTGGAGAATGGATTATGGAGGAGGAAAAGGATGGAGGCAGGAAGACACACTGAGAGACCGCTTGAGTGACATAGGCGAGAAATGTGGTCAACAGAGCTGGGGAAAGTTCTGGAGATGGAGTTCCTGCCAGATAAGAAGTGATGGATGAGGGAATGGGTAGAAAGTGGGGCCCGTCTCCAAAGGATGCTTTAAACAGGAATTTTTCTTTAAATGGGAGGTTGGAGATAATAGTTGCTGAAGGTCTTTCAACCCTAAAGTTGTGTAATTTATGGTATACTTTGGATAGGCAATTCCACATCCTCCATCCAATGTTTCCACTAACCCAGAAGCCCTTGTATGAGCACCACCAGTGATTATGAGACTGAAAGAGAACACATCTATGGAGACACAATGGTTTATTGTTCTCTTCACTACTGCCTCTCTAGTGCCTGTCCAGTATCTTGCAAATCATCAGAATCCAATAATATTTAGTTAATAAAGAGATGAAGAAAAGAATGGAAAATCTGTACGTGTACATTTTTGTAAACCTATAGTTGACATTTAAATCAATTCACCCCCACTAAACCCACCTTGCTCTTGGAATGTAAGAATGTAAGAGCTTTACTTGATGACAAAGATTAAAGGGTGACTCACACATGCAGGTATCAAAGCTTAGCAATTAAAATGGGTCAGAAAACTCCTCTCTGTCAAACCCACAAGTCTTGATGTTGTCTTTTTTCATATAATTATGCCAAGTCTTCCAAGTGATAATTAAAAATAAAAACAGGAATACAAAGTTAAGTCATTTGAATAGTGTGCTTGAATTTTAAAATGCATGTTCTGTGTTGATCCTAAGGAAGGTTTTTGCTGATTTGTATTGCTAATCACAGGGCCGAGCTCAGGGCAGGCCTTCAATAAGTGTCACTGGATTTCCAAAGTAAGTTCACTGAGGATGAGGCAGTATCAAGTGTGGTTCTATAGTCTACCCTGAGGAGGCACTCAGCCCTGCCTGTGTCATCCCCTATTCTTGTGATTCTTACAGTAATTGATCCCACATGTCAAACTCTCTACGTATCTGCCTTGAAATTCTTTGAGATATAGTGCTGCCTGGTTTGAATAGTTTCTGTTAAATGTGTAACTACCTAATAGGTCCCAAAAGCTCCACAATGGCCTTTCTGACGTTTTCTGTACCTGCTCTTCCCCCTTTCCTTCCTTTGCTTCACCTAATCCAGAGTTTCTTTGCCCCTCCTAAAATCTGGAGACAGAGGGGAAAACAATAGCATCCCAACACTAATCCAAACTCACAACAAGCAGAAGGTGTTGCCAAGGCAACAGGACTAGTGAGTCCTGTCTCTAGTCATCACAGGGTGAAAGGAGTTTCAAATGAGAGGGAATGAGGGGCAGTGGACACCTGTGGGAAAACGCTGACCTGTAAAGGAAATAAGGAGCTGCCATCCCAAGGGATAGGCTTGCGAAAACCCTGCAAGACAGGCAGGCTGGGTAAACTATATGGAAATTCAAAAGATCCTGTGCTACTAATCTGACTGCAGGTAGATGAGAACACGTGTTCTAGGGTGTAAGCAGAGGAGAGTCTTTAGGGCAAGAAGACAGGAAAAGCTTTTGAAGCTCTGACTTTAGGGCAAGGGAAAGCTTCTGAATCTCTGTGTGTGCTATAATAGAGGTTGATTACCTTTGTTTCTACAATGCCTTTTCATCCAGGATCCCATAAGCATAGCACAGACATTACCCCAGGTTTCTACACACCCCTGTGAGCTGATGATCAAGGACAGGGATTATTTTACAGATGGGAAAACTGGCACTCAACAGCAGCATATGTGCCAAGGCCCCTTCACAAGGCAGTGGCACAGCCAGAAACAGGATACAGGTGAAAATAACAATAAATTTATTTTTGTTATTGCTTCTTAACATCTTCCCTGCTGGACTGAGACCTATTTCACAAAGTGACTCCAAAAAGCCAAAGTCTTTCTCCCCCACACAGTGAGCTTGCACACTCTGAAAGCAGTTGTTTGAGCTCCTGACACTATGGACTGAGGGTGGTCAAGGTGGGTTTGGGGACTACATTCATCACATTAAAACACTCCCACATTAAAATACTGCAGCTGCTCTGAATGTCACTCTCCTGGTTTCATGGGAGTACTTTTAGGGCATTCATCTGGGCCCCGCCCAACCATGAGGATTCTCAACCAGGGAATCTTAATCAATCAAACAAATGTTTATTGATAGCCCACTATGTTCAGACCAACACTCTGACTGAATAACAAATGTTACATATGGCCCTCCTCTACCAAAACTCCTGTACATCCACCACGCTGCCTTCTACAGAAGTCCTGAGAACACATAGACTACAAGAAATAAATGAACAGAAAGTGAAAGTTAAGAGACCAAACACCAAATGGTGGTAACAGAGCGGGGACACAGGGTTCTGAGTCTGTTCTCTGAATGGAAGGAGAGTGACAGCCCCAGATGAAATGGACCTGTGCCCACAAGGTGCCCAGTACCCTTACATGCCCTTCAGTGCTAGGACCCTGCATGCTGTAAGTGCAGACATCTGCTTCTTATATTCACAGCCTGGTCCTTCACTTTGAGTAGGTGTACAACGATCTATTCATCACTGCATTCCCAATGCCTAGCTCTGAGTGGCACATAGTAGGTGGCCCATAAGCACATGGTGAATGAATGGCTGGATGATGGATGAATCAGGAATGAACAAGTGCCCTCAGAAGATAACAACATCTAATGCTCTATTCCATGCAGGAAGAATTCATAGCTAAGGTTTTAGTGAATCAATGAGACATCTAAGTTCCTGCATAACACAGAAGGTCACCGTGTTGGCAGCTTGAGTCCTAGCTTTTCCACTTACTACCCTGATGGCCTGAGACAAGGCTAGGTGTCTGTTTCTTCATTTATAAAATATGAATGAAATAATTATACTTACCTCAGTAGTTCTGGTAAGGATGAAATTAAATCATGCATGCAAAAGCACTTTGTAAAGTGTAATGCAGTGTACAAATCTCAGTCGTTATTGCCATCAATCGTGTCATTTAGCATCTCGTTAATTTATGTCACTCATTATGTACTTTTCCCACTGAAATACTATTGTAAATCACAGGCCACTGGAGGCTGAATCGCCTCGTCTTAAGATAAGAGCTTCTCCAGAGGTCCGAGGGCAGGCGTGGAGCCGTGTGCCAGACCTGTGACCTGTGCTGTTTGCACGAAGCAGCTCCTCTAAGGCCCCTGGGCAGCTCAGTCTTGTGGGGTTGGGAACCGTGAAGCTGCCTTTCCCTCTTCTCTGCTCTCATCATTCAGTGTCGCCACATCCAAGCAGAACTGGAAACATTTCTGTAGTCATTTCTTGTCTCTCTCTCTCCTCACTCAAGGCCAGATGGTACCTCTCTTTCCTGAAGACATGGCAGCATTTGGATGACCTCCCAGCTCAAGTCCTTCCCCCACCAATGCAATCTGGACTCGGATGTTAAATCATCATCTTCCCCAAGCATCATCTGAGCAGGAGACTGTCCTCAGACACCATGAGAACTTTTGATTGCTTCTTTTTCTTAAAGCCCCCTTTGTGGAATCTGAACCTCCTGAGACATCCCTCAATTCTTGCAAGCAACTAGGTGAGTGGGACCATATCAGTTCTTTGTATCCATATCAGTTCTTTGTAATGCTCCAAGCCTCCTCTAGATACTCAAAATTGACTGGATTGGATTAGAGAAATCATATTGAACCCCACAAAGTACCAGCTTTCCCACACAAGCTCACAAATTCCCAGCCAAGCCTTACACCAAGTACTTGGACGATAGAGACAACACTTCCAGCTGGGCTGCTCATGCGTGATATTTATCCTTCTTCCCACTTCTTGCCCACTGGCAGCTGTCCTCTCATTCACCACATCCCCTGCCTTACCCAGTTTGGTAGCAGGAACCCCCTTCCCTACAACCCCCCCCACATTTCCCTGGGCCTTCACACTTTGCACAACACACTTGCCATCAGGCCCACAGAACCACTCTCCCCAGTCTTTCTCAGCAAACCAGACACCCCTTCCATTTACAACTGTGCTCAGAAGCTGCTTTAGAAGAACCCCCTTCCCATAAATCCACACCCTATTTCTTCCATGTGGTGTATTTTGAAAGGGGATTCTCTTCGGTGGGATTCAATAGGCACCAGGTGCCTACAGACAGGTCTTAGTTTAGGTTCAAGAAAGTGACATGGTGTGTGAGCTCCAGCCCATGCCTTTAAGGAACCTCCTGACATTGTAGGTGACACAGAAGAATAAAATAATTAAGTGGCTGACAAGGGCCTTATATCTGCAGGCATTTCTCTCCTCCCATCCATGTGATCTCTGTATACAGCGTGAGCTGGCTGCCCACTGGTTGTTTTTGTCTGTGTCCCTTTGCACTGTTTGTTTGTGACAGTCTCTCTGAATGTGTCACTTATGCTCAGAGGTATTTCTGTACATATTTTTTTATGTATCCCCAACTCTCCTAACAGAATGTAAGCTGGAGGGTTGTGGTAATTAGGCCCTTTCTATTGCTCCACAGACTGCTACATGCAGCGTTTTTTGAAACTGCTAGTGACAGACACTGGCTGAGAAAGGCCATTTTGTACAGTTCCCCCTCTTTTCTCCCCCCCAGCAAAGAGAAATTCAGAAATATTAAGCTCAGTTAGAATCACAATGCCACCTCTTCCAGAAGACTGTTAATCAGTGTCTTGTAACCAAGGAATGAGAAGGGACAGGGAGAGAACCAGGTGTCTGGGTGGCCCACACACACTGCAGCAGCTCCACAGTTACACCACAAAATGACATTGAACACTTCCTCCATCCCTTCTAAATTCCTTCCGAATTTGCTCTCTTCTCTCCTTTTTTCATGTGACAGACACTACCTCTTATTGTTAAATCATCCATTCATTTGTTAAGAAGTGTTTGCTGAATATCTCTCTATACTGTGTGCTGGTATAAAAATAGTGTGCTAGTGACAATCTCTGCTCTCCAAGAGCTGACTGTCTAAAGAGGAAAATCAGGCAGGAACACAGAAAATCATAAAATACAAAAGTCAAGGTCAGAAAGGGGTTAGGTGAAGGCCAATGAGTTCACCTAACTCTGGAAGGACAGATATCCTTGAGAAAATAACCTTGAAATCTGACCCAACAGTGAGTAGATATTGAGTGAGATGCAGGAAGAGGGCAGGAGACAATGCCACCAGATGTAAGGATTTATAAGCCATGAAAGTATTTTATTCTAGGTCTGCTGCGTCATGTGGGTTAGCTCCCTGGTGGGGATCAAACTCAGGCCACAGAGGCTGAGACTTTAGCACTGAGGCTTTAACCCCTGCACCACCAGGGAGGCCCCTATGCTTATATCGTTTATCAACTACATCCCAAAGCATGAGGAGATAGGGGCCTGCATACCATGTCACTTCCTTAGTGCCTAAATTAAAATCTGTCTATAATAGGCACCCAATACCTACAAAGCTACTGCTAAAGAAAATCCCATTTCATTGTGCTGAGGTTGTTGAAGTCTGAGGAAAAGTACTAACCTTCCAGGGGGTTATCTCTCTAGTCCACTTGACTTTGTTGGCAAGATGATCATGATGTGCACATGATGGGGAAATGCACTGTCCTTTCTTCCTTGGATAATCTAGTAAAGAATTTGTCATCTTTGCTCTATTCTCCTGCACACTGTGGATTTCCTGAGTTTGGGAGCAGGGAGGGTTAGGAAACCTATGCACAGCAAAAAGTGTGTAGAGATATAAGTGACACCCTCTGACAGGGCTCTGTCATTTGGTATAGGGCCAATTAGGTTCAAAGAAGCACCTAGTGAGATACATCGGCCCCCATTATGGAGATTTTGTTCATAAGATCTGCTACAGACAGCTACTGCTTATTCTATGATGCAGGTAAAAAAAAACTAGAGACGATTTTGGTCACATTTAGATAGGGTTCTCCTACTGATAGAAGCTTAGAGTAGAAAAAAGGTCAAAAACCAGAGATGGGGTGTCTTAGAAATTTCCAGGAATCTAAAGTGAGGGCAGAGAGGATTATCAGCTATGTAGGACAAATCCAACCAGATCCCAAGGTGATAATTTCCACAGTAAGTTCATCAAGAAATATAAGGATGCCCCTTGCTCTGACAAAACACAGCTCTTGTCCTTTAAGACTGCCTGCCTGTGTCTATGCAGGTACCTCTTAATAAATCTGCTCACTCTTTGCCTGTCTGTGTCTACGCAGGCACGTTTTTAAAATTTTATTTTCCCTAATAAATCTTTAAAATTTAGGCTTTGCCTGTTGTGTCCAAGCAAACATCTTTTTTTTTTTTTTTTCCTCTTAAACTCACTGTGTGCTGCTGGAGAAACTGCTGAAATCTTTCTCAGAGGGACCCAAGAACCCTGTTCACCCAACCCCAACATCTGAACCACCATCCCTCTTGGCAGGCCTGAGAAACAGCTCAGTGAGGAGCAAAGGGATCCAGAGCATCAGGATCCAGATCATTTTCTTGACACAAGCCTACCCTTTCCAAGTCAAGCCAGGCTCCCTCATGGAAGTCGCACTTTGCTCTATTTTCTATCCAACTTAGCTAGGCCCACCTGCCCAAGTATTTGCTTAAGAGCCAATGATGTAAACTTTGGAAAACACAGATTTAAAACTCATGACTTATCTGAAAATGTCTAGATAGTATAAATAACTAATACTCTGCAAGTAAAACATGCTAACGGGAAGCTTAGCTCTTCAGAGATTCTACCCATAGGTCTCTCCAGTCTCCTAAGGCTAGAGTCTTTGCAAAGCCATCTTCAACTAATCTAGGGAATTTATTGAGGAAAATGGAAAAGATACACAGGGATAGCCAGGAGTAAAGGGAGTAAATGGAATTAATGTGGGCTCTCTATACCCTACCTACCTCCAGGCTGGTATTTTTATGAGTCATTACAAAACAGGAAAACAGTCAGATAAAAATTAAAACAAAACAAAAAAAGGAAAACAGAAAACAAAGGAGGTTTAAAAAATAAATAAAATCTATACCAAGTAATTAAATACCAGAAATTTTAAAACATAGACAATTAAAAGCAGCAACCAGAAGGGAAGAGTTAGAGTTTAGGCTAACATTTCAAATGGTTAAGAGTAGAAAAGGCAGAGAAACCGAGCACTATCAAGGTAAGAGATGAAAGCATGGAAGTTAAAAGACATAAGTTTATGATAGAGCTAAAATGCAAAGATTTTAGAGTTTTGAGGAAATGAGGCTAAGAATCAATAGAACAAGGGTGTATGTGGAAGAGTTGGGGAAGGGAAGAGGAGAGAAAAGAGGAAAAGCACTGGTAGAAGGAAGATAGAGGAGCATTTGTGGGCAGGTCTTGTGCCCTCTGATTGCTAATAGGGAAATCCCCAGGGAAAGGGGAGGTTCCAGGTTCCCTGCCCCAACCCTGAGGAAGGGTAGAGCTGATGAGGGAAGGGAAGTTATGGAAGATGGGGAAAAGGAAGAAAAGAGACAAAGAAGACCTGGAGGAGGCATTATGGAGCAAAGAGACATGTAAAGAAGCTGCTTCTTGGCCTTGCGCCAGGGACTTGGGAGACACGGAGACACCTGAGACAGAAATATGGGTGAGAAACCAGTGGGGAGACAATGACATCCTTTATCTTGATTTTGATTTTGCTCTTTTCCTTCCAGACATGCCGAGTCCCTTCTGCTCCTTTCCTATGGGTGCCCAACCAGAAGGTACCCTAGGCTTGTGGCAAACATTTGGGCCCAGATGCCCTGCTTTGGGCCAAACCTATTTAGCTGGCATTTGCCCACAAGGGATGAATAAATTTGGGTCCTTGATTTAGAAACTATATTCTTTCTCTTTCTTTTATCTCTATTGCACACTGACTGGTTGTATTAAAGTTCCTTTCCATTGAAGGTCTTATGCACTAGACTATGTTTTGACTTGATATGGCAGATGGCTGAACCCATTTAGAGTGGGCAGGTTTGGGAGTCCTGGGATGCTCCTCACCCTACCTGATAACATGACTTCTGAACAGAGTGGCTTCTGAGGTTACAGGCATCCCTGCTGCATAATGAAGACAAAATCCAGAGTCATAGGCAGCCATTTTATCTCGGCCCTCCAGAATGCTTCTGGAGATTTCGGCCCCAATACCATGCTTCATTTCTACACTGCTAATGGGGAAGTGGAAAGAGGCATAGCTCCCTCCAGAGCAGGGCAATAGCTAACTAACTCCCTCATCCTACAGATCCTAGGAACCTTGATGAAAGGCCTAGCTTTCCCCAGATGAAAGACCTGCTCTGCATTTGCCATTAGTCCTGGCCTAAATGGAACCTGCTTTCTATGAGCCCGCAAGTCAGTGGAGATGACAGTTGCTACCAATCCCTTAACCACTTTCACTTTTGCCATCATGTCTGAAGGAAGAAAATTATTAGTGGCTAAATTACACCTGCTCTGTCAACAACTGAGCTGAGCCAAGGAAATGCCATTGGGTAGGAACACTGGGATCTTCCTAGGTCCTGTTATTCAGAGCTGCCCTATACAGGGAGGGGCCAAGCTCTACCTCCTCATGTCCAGACACCACCCAGGCAGGCAGGGAAGATATTTGGGCAGTGCCTTGGTCTGAACTCTTCCCCGACATCCTGTGTGAAAAGTGGGAAGAGAACATACCTGAGAGGCCATTTTATGAGCCTTTTAGGGGGAGCCACACACAAGAGCTTACTATCTCTCTCTCTTTTTAAATATTTATGTATTTATGCATACAAGAACCGGGGTACAGACCAGAGGTGTGAGGGGGTGGTGAGAGTATTTACTAGAGACAGAGTGGGGAATAGAACAGGTGGATTGACCGAAATACAGTGCTGAGTGGAGCAGCGGGCACATCAGGAGAGGTCTGCTGTGCGCTGTGGGTAGCTCCCTGGCTGGGGATCAAACTTGTGCTGCAGTGGCTGCAGATAGCTTCATAGTGCTGTCTTATCCCCTTGTACCATCAGGGAGGCCCACTTCCCCTCTTTATCATCATAGCTACTGCTGAAAGCAGACACCCACTGGCTGGCTGGGCAGTGGGCCTTAGCTCCTACCCCACCCCTGACCTTAGCAGCAGCTGACGTCTGCCATCCCCAGTCAGTTCCTACAGTGGCTATTTCACCTTCTCAAACCACTGACTGGTAACTTTACCTTCTCCATCTCTCTCTACCCTGTTGTCTAGAATAACATTTTTTTCCCTCTCTTTTTGCTGTACTAAAGACCCTTTTGTTTGCATCTGTGGGTATGGATGGCCCAGAACTCGTGAGAAAGCTTCTGAACTAGTGATAGTTGTGCAGACCCTTTACTTGGGAACAAGAATTCCCAGAGTCCTGGTTATATTCTATTTCTCCCCAGTTCTTGTTCTGATTGCCTTTGGAAGCTGATTTACTTGTGTCATCTCCCAGGTTACACTTGACCCTGCCTCCTTTGTGATCATTAACTAAACTCAGCACCTTTTTGTTTTTCTAGGGTCAACCTGGATGTCCCCAGGGCATAGATCTTAGTTCTCTGTAAACTGGGCAGGTAGCTTCTATTTGTTCTGATGATAATATCCTCTGATTATAATTCTAACCAGCTGTCTCTGGGCCTTGGTCACAAGAGAGAGCAGGAGACAGTGTGTATGTGATTCTGTAGGGGAATAAAACTCTGCCACCCCAAAATAAATAATTGGCAAGGCAGGGACTCTAAGGCTGGATGGAAGTTGTTTTTTATATTTATGTATAAACTTGTCCATAAGGGCCTCTGTGAGAAAGAGATAATCTTTTTATCTCTTTTCCAAGGAGAAGGTAGAGCTAAATCTGCATGCCTATTGTTTACTGCACCTTCCCCAGTAACCCTCTAACTGAATTTGCCCTTTCTTCCCTAATCTCCCTTGTCTTAGCTATTTAAAATGACATCTAAAGCCACATGGATGAGTCACGCTGGGTTTCTCCCAAGTATCCAAGAGGTGTACATTATTAAACATCTTTTTTGACTTTTTTCTCTTTTCAATCTGTCTGATGCTTGTTTGATACTTTGCCAGTGTAGAAGACCCACAGGGGTCGGGGATGTTCTCCTTTGTGTCCCACAATTTCACACAAACATACCTTGACTGCTAAGAAAAAGCAAAACACAGGCGTGTGAGAGAATGAGTGGGTAGCACCATGTTCCTAGGGGCAGAGCAGCCCAAATAACTCTCTGAAATCAAGATGCTTAGGGGGAAAGCAAAGTCCTCATCTTACTTTTGTTCTTTACCCTCAACTAATTATTTGAAATGTAAAGACAGCACCACAAAGGAATCTGTCCTTGCCCTGCCTATCCTGGCCGTGTTGACACACACAGTCCTGGGAAATGAGGTGACATCCACTCAGAGCTGTTTCCTAACCTGTTCCCTAACCTTACTAGGGACTTTCAAGACATCAAGTGAAGGCATCCTGAGCAATGCAGGGGTGAAGCAAACATCTGTGGCGCTGCAAGTGACAACGCAGAGTGATTTTCGTGTTGCTTAAAACACACGGAATGCCACACTGGTGGCACAGCAACTCACCAGGCCCAGGAGTGGAAATGATGTTGGAGGAACAGAGCAAACCCAAAGTATGGAATCTTCTCCTTGATAAACTAAACTTGCAGACAGAGCAACTAATTAGGTCCCATGTGCCGGATCCAGAGGGACATTCAAAACATTTTTTTTCTGGGTGACCTGAGGCTGGAGAAGAGAAAAATGCAATTGAATATAGACAACTGTGAAGTGTTGTCGAAGCAAAGGGATCCATGGAATGAGTCCACGGTATGAGTGAAATGGGGGAACAGACGGCTCCAGAGTGGGCCAGCATATCCAACAAGGTTTGCTTGGCCAGCCAGGACATCAGCACATCCTCTTGATAAATGCTGACCTCCTCTGGAGATCGATATTTTGATATTGGGGAGGGGGAGGAAATAGCTTTTGTTCATTCATCCCAGTGTTATTATTTCCCCAGGGCTGGATCAGTGTCCTTTCAAAGAAAGAGCTGAAGAAACAGAAATCAGAGTGTTCGGTTATCAATTAATGGCTCACACACAGCTTTACCATTCATTCAACAAAACAGCAGTCTCTGGAGGAATGAGTGAGGTGAGGATGTCATCTCTTATCACCTCCACAGACCTGCATTTCCCCAGCAGGGCCCACGCCCTTCTTCCAGGACAGCACAGGCTCACTCAGACCCTTGGATGGACACACCACTGCCCCGGGTGGACCTATTTGAGGTACAGTGATATCCAAGTCTGTGCCAGCAAGACATAAGTCTTACTGATCTGAGGTTGGCATACATGAACTCACACATGCCAGGTTTTGACAACACCTCCATTTTCCCTTCCAGAACCCAGAGAGCAGTCTCAGTCTTCTCAGTGAATGAGGAATCTTATTTCTTTTGGTCTCAGGTTTAAAGAACCAGTGCTAGATGAGCTCAGAATGACTCACCTCCCAGCCTCTCCAGACTCAGCTTGGCCACACCCCTAAATTCTATCTATAGAATTTTCCTAAACCTCCACTTGTGTGGCTCTGAGAATATCTTTAGCACCCATTATCTGGCTTTTGTGACTATGCTCTCAGCCTTTTGCATCTTCTGTTATTAATTACTTCACACATTTTGACTCATGGCTTTTTTTTTTTTTTCTGAAATAGCACCTGAATTCCTTTTCTTTGCGAATCTTCTCTGATGGAAACACTGAGTGAGGTTGTCTACTTCTCCCAGGTCCAAGTAAATATTCCTTCCAAATACAAAGATTTTTTTTACCAGTAGATAAGATGTCACTTCAGCACAAATATTTTACTAATACAGTTTCTTCTTATTTACTGAACCAAGGGTAGTAAAGGGAAAACGGGGACTCTTAATTCACAAACATAATGAGGGGTGGTGCAGAATCAGGGAAGATGATAAAATGGTAAAGATAAAAAACATACAAATTGAAAAAAAAAACCTGTGCTATGTTCAGACTATGTGGACATAACTCAAACTTTCCTTATTAGCTTTCAGTGTTTTTAAAAAGTCACATTGGTATGGAGGAAGAGGAAGAGAAAGGGCTAGACTGACTTGGGGTTAGTAAAAAGTTTAGATTTCCATAGTGAGTGAATGAATGACAAGCCACACAATGAATGGTTATTTCAGGAGGCCACTATGCCACTATTTTTTTTTAAAGAAAAACTTCAATTTACTTTTACTGGTAGGAATCAGCTAGGGAAGCTCTGCAGGATGGGGACATTTCTTTTCAGATGCATGCCTTATGGAGAGTCCACGAGAGAGTTATGAATGCTACCATCATTTTTAAAGAGCCATCACAATGGACTATGGGACTGGATAATGGATACGTATGTCCTGCTAGGAGTGCCACTTACGAACAGTGTGGCAGGAACTGAAATTCTGCATGCGGACTGCCTCTACGACTGTTTGTGTATGGAATGTGTCTGTGTTCCAACATTGCCAGTTTGCCTTAAATCATCATTTCCTAGGTGCCTCTCAAAAAGGCTTATCTGCTCTTGCCCAATACCCAATGGGCATGCAAGTAAATGTAACACATTTATACTCCCAGAATTTGCAGCTGGAGGAAGCTCTAGCAATATCCTTGTAACCCAATTCTTATTCAATAACATTGTTTTTCTCTCAAATTATGAAATTGACATGTGCTCATTTTCAGAAGTATGAAAAACAGTATGAAAATGAAATAAACCTATAATTCAATAATCAACACTGAATTGCTGTATAGCTCTGTTAGGGTAGGATGGCGTATATGAATATTTGTATATATGTACACATATATGCATATATGTACACACACTTAAGAATACACTTTTAAATTCATAAAATTGAGATTATAAGCTCAGTTTTTAGTAATTACATGATGTAAATTTTCTTATGTCACTATAGATCCTTCAAAATCCAGATAGTTAGAAATAACTTATTGAATAAAATGAACCACCGAAAAATGAGTAATTTAATGGTATCTTGTACATTTCCAATGTTTCTATGGTATTCAAAAACATTTCTATCACTCCAAGATGAAACCCTTTACCCACTAGTAATTTTACCCCTTCTTCCTCCTGTGCTTCTCACTTGTTGTTGCACCTGCAAACCACCAAGCTGCATTCTGTCTCTGAATTCACCTGTTCTGGGCATTGCCTATGCATGGATCACACAAGTGGCTTTTTGTGTCTGGCTACCTTTACCTAGAAACATTTTTTTCAAGGTTCATTCATGGGCATTTGGACTGTTTTGCCTTTGACTATTATAGCTGGCACTGCTGTGAACATTTGTGCATGTGTGTCTCTTCAAGAGCCTGATTTCAATTCTTTAACTTTATACCTAGGAGGGGAATTACAGAGTCTTGTAGTAATTCTATATTTAACTTTTTAAGGAACTGCAAAACTGTTTCCCACAGTTATTGGGTCATTTTACATCTCCACCAGCAACACACCAGGGTTCCAATTTCTCTATATTCTCACAAGCATTTGCTATTTTCTATTTTGGTTTTGCTTTTTTAAAAAATGATTATAGCCACTCATTACAGTGAGAGTGAAGTGGTACTTCACTGTGGTCAAACCACATTTTTTAATATCATGTTTGTTTCACGACACATTAGCCAGCCCCCACCTTGTTGGCATTTAGCCTGCTTTGGAATTGAGCCTTTTGTATATATAGCCACCTGATGAAGTCTTATACAATACAAACACCCTTAATTATATCTCATTATTTTCTTAGCAAAAATTCCTGAGTTAGTTGTCTTTGCAGGTGAAGCTGGGTTAAAAGGAGCTGAGACCAGAACTTGGCTAGCTGATATTCAGCCTATGCTATCTTTTGATTTATTTTTTTTCTTGATGAGATTAAGTCAGTATTTTATGTCAGATATTGGGCAAATTAGGAAGAAGGCACCTCCAAAAAGTGAAATATTGGCTCTATGGAACGGATGATGCCAAAGTCACTTTTAATACTAATTTCCTTTGTATATGTTGCCATATGGGAGGGGGACCAAACACAGCAAAACTTGATATGCTCACACACATTGTACAGCATGTAATGTCAACAATTTTACATGCACTGCCTTCAACAAAGTCTTCTCTATTTGCACGTGTGGTGCAACACTGGGCGGGGGGGGGGTGGCTTCTGTTCCATTGCAGTGGCTGGAATCCCCTTCTGTGACTTTGCTTTCCCCCCTCTACGACATCCTGGGGCTGGGTAGGAGAACAAAATGTACATTTACACAGTCATTGGTAGACCTCTATTTAAGTAGCATTTTCAATGAGGTTGGAGCTGCTAAGAAAGCGAGATCCAATGATACATTTTGAAGTTTTTACTGAGATCCCAAAAAGAAATATATCCAGTCACATACAGTGCATAAAACTACAGTCTGTTTCCCCTCTAATTGGTAATAAATGTAAATGTTTAGTTATGCCTGACTGGGGAGCTATGAACAACACATCTGTCTGACTGTTTTTTCAGTCTTCACAAGGACTGCCGCATTTATACCATCTGTAGCTGGTGGAGGAAGAGATAGCAAGAAAGTGAGACTGAAATTTAGAGAATGGCTCTTACTAGGAGTGTACAGGGAATTCACTCATTCAACAAATATTTATTGAGCATCTATTATGGCTTAGGTTCCAGACCCAAAAAAAAAAAAAAAGGATGCTACTGATTTGAGGAAGATAATTATCTCCCCTTCCCAAATTTTGAATCAATTTGATATACTGGAGGCCAGGCAAATGGAGGTTTGTCAAATTTGTTACTGAAGACAAATACTGGAGAATGAGGCTTAGGTGGAGGTAAGAATGGCTTTCTTAATAGCAATCTCCACAACTGAACAGACCAACCTGTCTGGATACAGGAGCTCTAGAAAAACAAAGGCCTTGAACAGAACTCAGGGCACCAACTATTGATCTCAAGGCCTGCGCAGGAACTAAGTAGGTGACTCTGCAGTTCAGCAGGGCCCAGGGAAGAAGAGAGGGAAGTGCTAACTGCAGGACAGTGCGTCCCTTAAATTTAGTAAGCAGAGTGAAGGTTTGAGCACCAGAGCCAGGATAGGCAATAAATCCTCACTTAAAGTGATTGGCAGCTTCTTGGAAACTACAAGGACAGCAAAACCAACTTTCCCAGCAGCTATCTGATACAAACAAGAGTTACGTTCTCATGGCCTATTTCTAGTCACAAAAAAAAAAAAAAAAAAAAATCACAAAACTTCTAAATAAACACCCAAACACTTCTAACATTAAACAATCATTTGTCTCCATTCATTTGCTTTTCAACCTCCATTCATTTGCTTTATTCCAGTAAAGAATCCCAGGTGGCTGGAGCCTACCCTGGCAGCTCAGGGTGAAAGGCAGGACCACATCCTGGGCTTCTGCCCTTCCAGGACATATTCACACACATATTCACCTGATTCTGTCTGGGACAAGTGAGACACACCAATGAACCCTATGTGTGCATTTTTGGACTGTGGGGGGAAACCTGAGAACCTGAAGAAAGCCCACATGGACATGGGGAGAACGTGCAAACTCTACCTAGGCAGTCACCCTGGTTGAGAAGGTTGCTTTTTTCCTCATTAATGTTTTTTGTTTTGGGTTTTTTTTTTTTTGTGTGTGTGTTTTTAAAGATTTATTTTATTTATACAAGAACTGGGGTACAGGCCAGATGCGTGGGAGGGTAAGGGGATTCACCAGAGACAGAGTGGGGAGCAGAACAGGCAAACTGACAAAATACACTGCTGAGGGGAGCAGCGGGTGAGATAGGAGAGGTCTGCTCACCATGTGGGTTGCTCCGAGGCCGGCGGGGATCGAACCAGCACTGCAGAGGCTGCATACAGCTTCTCAGCGCTGTGCTCAACCACCTGCACCACCAGGGAGGCCCTCTCATTAATGTTATAACTCAATGAAAATGATGTTATTTGAGGACCTGCTGTATACACAAAAATTGTGACTCTCTGCCCTGCCTACACATAGGGTCACCTACCTGAGTCCTTTAGCAGAACCCAGACTCAGGCACCACACATAGATTTATGATTCCTTTGGGCTGGGACTGGATGTGGGTAAGGACATTTTTAAAACCTCCCAGGTAATACTATATGTGCCATCAAGGTAGGGTAAATACCTAGCTCAACAGGAAGAGAGGTGGAAGGAGGCCCCCATCTCAGAAAGCCTGGCAGAAACAATGATAAATGAGGGACAGTCCTGATCTACTTCAATGTCTTATTTTTCCTGAGAGAGAAACTGGGAGAACATCCGAGTGCTCTTTGCCATGGGCACTCAGAGGCTGGAAAGGCCAAAAGCCAGGGTTCTAGAGGTCTTTCCAGGACCCTGTGTGAACTGAGTTCAGAAGATCACCCTAATAGCTGTGAAAAAGCCAGTAAGAGAGAGGCAGGTGACTGAGAGGTCATTGCATGAAGTTACAATAGTTCAAGAGAGAGAATAAAATAAAAAGAAGGGAGGTAGCTAGGGATACAGATTGCTCATTAATTAGCATCCTTCAGGGTTCAGACTTGAGCTAACAAGCCTTCCTTCTTAGAGCAGACTGTGGGCTGTTTTAGCCATATGCGCAGCCTCCTCTGGGGCTAGGGGTGTGCTGAGGAGCTCATGTTTCTTGGGGTTGCACCAAGGATTAGGAGAGAGGATGTATTCCAAGGGCATAGCCTAGTGTCCAGCACAGAGCACACCCTTACTGGCTGCTGTTTGTTTTGAGAAGTCACAACAGCTGGAGTAGCAAAGGTTCTTCCTTGGCTTATTTTCTGAGGTTTGATTCACCCTTTCCAAAGTGGGAAGTTAAATAACTTTTACTGATATCTCAAAGCAGGATTCAGTACAAAACAAGTATCTTTTTCATTTTGTATAATCCTTGTATCTACCCTCTGAGATCCATTTTATAACCCCATTTCACAGATGAGAAACTGAGGCTAGGTATTAAAGAAAATCTCTGATATCATCTTTTTTAGGAATAAAGGAAGGATGGAAAGGACTATCATTCAATATCTGGTTGATTATAGAACAAAGTGATGCTGCTTTTTGCCTTCAGAGACAAGGAGAAAAAGAAACACAATTTCTAAGTTCTCCAGAAGCACTGTTTACCAGTTGCCTTTGTGGGGGTACTTAAGTTTACAGGTTTGACAATTCGTCCTACACTCTATTATCCAGAATGGTCACTGTCTTCTATAAATCTGGAAAATTTCTTAGTCAAAGTTGAAAACAATTTAATATTCACACCCTATGTGAATTTTTTTCCAAGGGTTCTGCAGGAAAACCATAGATTGTAGAAAAATGAGAACTTTACAAATCACTTTTGCCCCTATTTAACTGCAGGTCACTCTACGTTTTATGTGTCTACAGTGTCCCTGTGGCTACCTTAAAGAATATTGGCCATAAATTTCTTCAATTTGCACTTGGGGCTTGCATTTGATGCATGACTTTTGATCAAATGAATGAATGTTGGGGAAGATTGCTATTGTTGAATTCAAAGGGTAGCAGAGTGGCTAAGCTTTACTTAGGGAACACCAAAGGAGGATGACAGCCTTTAAGGGCTGAAGATTTGAGGGTCCAAACAGCTGGAGTCTGACAGGGCAAGGGGAGATGGGAAGGAAAGAGAGGGGTCCTCATCTCTCCCAGGGCCTGGTGACAAAGTCCTTCACTCTGACTGTAAGTGCTTGATGCTATTATTCATCTTAATTTTCAAATCAATTCTTACCTTCGATGGAGTAGGCACCA